TGCCTACATTATTTTCAGCAGTGATGATGAATAAATCACATCACCTGCACAACAAGTGTGCTACTGGGCATATGTGGAGGAAAACATGCAATCAGTGTTCATTAATACAGGTCATCTATTTTCTTAATTGCAAGCAAGGAGATTAGACAAGGCAGAGGTCTTAAGAAGGAATCTAAAGCATTCTGCTGAGGGAAACTAAATGTGAGAAGAAAAAGTAAATATACAGTGTGCCAAGTTGGAGGAAACAATTATTTACCCCGAGGATTACACCATTTAAGATTTCAGAATGGAAAAAAATCATAAACAAAGACAAATGGTTTAATGGTTTACTTTGTTAAAGAAAGCTCCATTGTTCCGTGGCCCTCTGGTCTACTGATAGGGAGAGTTTTAAGAACAATACAAACACTCTCTTGTTTTGTTTGTGCTTATAAGATGAATGCTGTCTCCTGAAAGTCTGCATAAATAAAACGATCAGACAGGACGAGAAGTGTACAAATTCTTTCCCCAGTCTTTGGCATTGGGCCTGTAATTCTAAAGAATCTGAAGTTATTTGTCTATCAGATTAACTTTATCAAAATCTTAAATGATACACACATTAGTGGGAAATGTTACACCCTCTCTGTCTTGTTCTTAACAATATTTATTGTCTGTACTGGGGGAAGGGATACATCATGTCTGTTTTAAGAGATCTTTGAACATGGTTTTCCAACAGTATTCTGTTTTCTCTTTACTTTTAGGTTAATAAGTTCTCTAGCTATAGCTGTATTCCACAACAAAAATTCCATTGCGCATATTTAGTTCCTGGTTCACAGAATTCAAGAAGATTTGCAGCACAGAAGCAGGCTAATTGGCTCATCCTGACTCTACTGGTGCACTTCCCCTAACTTGGTTTGTTCCCTTGTTATCTCCCTTGTTATAACCATTGATTTTATTTTTTCCTCAAATATTTATCCAAATCAGTTTTAAATGCTGTTATGAGCTCCGCTTCAACAGCTAACAGTAAAGCATTCCCCATTGTAACTCACTGTGTTTTTAAGCCTAAGCCTTCCTTTTTCATTTGCTGATAATGCCTTCCTGATGCTAACTCATCATTCAGTGGGAATGGTCTCTCTCTAGCTATCCTATTCATGGTTTTAAAAACTTCTCTTAGTTTGCTCCCTTAACCAGCAAAAATTACTCCAACTTTTCAAGTCTTTTTACATAACGAGCTGTGAGATTGGATACTATTAAATTCAAATCCTATGGCAGAATGATGTGTTCATTTGATATAGATGAAAGCATAATCTACTTGAGAAACAATAACTGGACAAATAGACATAGATGGTACAATCCACACCCACGTACACTGGAAGGTGGTGAATCTCTAATGTACTGAATGTGTAGAATATTGTGAAAGATATATATTGAGAAGCACCTAAGAAAGATGAACTTCTTGCATAAAGATCAGATTCCCTAAAATCTGTTCAAGTGCCTATCTGGAATAGAACCATAGAATTTTACAGAAAGCAAGAGGCCATTCAGCCCAACATGCATGTGCTTGTTCTCTGTAAAAGTTATCCATGAGGTCCCACTTCCCTGCTTTTTTCCATATCATTTTCTTTTCAAATATTTGTCTGATGGTAATGTCTATTGAAATTAGTGAAGAATCTGCCTTGAAGACTTAACCAAAGTTTATGGGCACTCTGAATATGTGCACAATTCTAAGCAACTCTTTACAAAGTTTTTTTCTTTATTACCAACAACCTTAAATTATTTGATGACCCAAGTGCAGTCAGTAACCTATTCAAACTGGTGTCATATAATAACATGTACTTTATTGAATATGAGGAATCGATTACATCATGTTTTCTGATGGGAAAATACATCTCAGGGACAGATAGAAACTTAGGAATCTTTCACAACATTGATAAGGCCCACAATAGTTAAAGTAAAAGTGAATACAATTTTGAAAAAAATAATTGTGGTTCTCATAAATGTCAGAAATGAGCTATGAGCTTTATAACTCCTAAGTAACAAAGTATTTTTTTCTTTAAACATCTTATTGCTCAAAAAAATATTTTGAATTTATAAATTTATGGAACTACTTTTGTTAGTGAGATTGTATAACTATAAAGTATAGCTTTCAGTATTCAATATCCAATGTGATGGTTTCAATTTCTCAAAGGAAACATATTGGCCACTTTGCCCTTATTTCCTGTTTACATAATCCTTACATTTGAAATAGCACCTTTCATGTCAGAAGGACAAAGCTCTTCACGGGATTTACGGCAAAGTGGAATGATTGTATTTTTGTGGGTGAACAAAATAAAAGAGTGTAGAAAGTACAGGCAATGGATTCAAGGGCACTTGGAATTCTTGGTGTCACACACAGAGAGGTGCGTTCTTGAACAAGTTATAGTCTGATCTCTACAATCAGTGATAGATAGATCTGTCTTGAAAGGAAGAGTGATGAATGTGAGTTATCTTTAGATGGAAAAGACATGTCCAGTTAATTGATAAAGCCTTGAGGGCATCTGATAGTAGAAAATGCATTAAGCCTTACTGGGATTGCACAATCAAGGCAAGCTTTCCTTTCTTAGGCATTTTACACAAATGTAAACCTTCAAAATACTGTATATACAATAAATACAGTACAATAAATCTTCAAGTTATTTATATAAATAAAAATTCTTATTCAACTAGAAAAATTATCTCAGTGATGGGGACAAACCGAATAGAGGTTTGATGAGATGATCTCAAAAACCAAAAGAAAACGTGTTGAACTAAACTAAGACAGGTCAAACATGTAGTCAGAGGACACATTTGTTATGAGGGTTCTGTACCAGGAACATTGAGTGACAAGTGATATGAATATAAAATTCTCACTATTTCTGCTTAATGAAGGCGAGGGGAAGTGGGGGGGGGGTGTGGGTGGGGGGGGGGGGGGGGGGAGGAGGAAGATGCCATAACTGTGAAAAGCACAGTTGAAACTAGTCTAAGGCTAGAACGTTTGTCCTAAGCTGGTGCTTTATCCAGTTGGTAGCAATCCATAAGAAAAAGAAACAGCTGTACACTACTGGGTGGCAGCAACATCATGCAAGGCTTTTCGATCTTTGTTCAACTGTACTGGCACAAATGAAACATTAATAAAATCTGCTTGAAGAAGACCTGTGTATGTTGTCAGTGAATCATTGGCTTATTTCTGCTTCCTTGGATTTTTTACTCTGCAAAACATCAAAGGGATACGAAAATGCCTTTAAAGGCCATGCACCATTCAGCAGGCAGCTTTTATCATTTACTGGAATAGTTCAAGTTGTTTCCAAACGCAATATTGGAGTCTGATATGTGGGTATTTGTAAAAGGATTTGCAAATATTAAAAGTTGCATGTACCCAGATATGTCTCACTCCAGAAATCTATTCTTGAAGTTAACAGTCAACAGAACTTCAGAAGAGGGAGAATTTAGTTTGTATAAAAAGTGCTCCACAAATGTGAGTTGTTGTTAATGACTAATTTCAGAAACTGCTGTGATAACTGCATTAGAAAACGTAAGAGTAATAGTTGAGTTCTGACGAAGGGTTGTGGACCCAAAACGTTGACTCACTTTCCTTTCTCCTTAGATGCTGCCTGACCTGCTGAGTGTTCCCAGCAACTTCTGCTTTTGTAATAATTACAGTCAGTCAACAGCATCAACTATAAAGAGATGAAGAGAAGATGTCCTCCCATTGGCAAGTTCTCCTGCCATCAATGGAGTACTTGTGCTTCTATCTTCATTTCCTACGCTGAGAAGTGTGATTTGTGATGTGTTAATTGACATGATATTTGCAATTGAAATATCTTCTGTAGCTGCCATTTGGTCACTGCCCAGGAACTGCTGCTACTAAATAGCCTTGGATTATTTACTCTGCAAAACATGGCAGGGATATAAAAATGTATTTAAAGGCCATGCGTGAGAGTTATCTACACTTCTGGTAAGATCTCCCGAAGGAGGCCTGATAAGAGCGAGAACAAAAATTAGCTATTGGAAAGGTCTTCAACCAGTTAGCCCTGCAGAAATTCGAGATCAGTGCATTGGGAATAGTACTGGGTGGTTATGTGCCATTGCACAAAGACCAATATTGCAAGTCAGGTGCCCCAGTGTGTTGCACTAGGTAATTTTAGTAGGAGGGAAATTAGGGTAGTAATGAAAAGTTCAATGGAATAGCAACAGATTGAATCAGAGCCATATATCCTAATTCAATTACGACTTGCATTTAAATAGCACCTTTCATTTAAAAGACCATAAAAAAAGTTAAAAGCCTTTTAACCAAAATATAGGATTCTAAATGTAATTTACTTGGTGACACTAGCTCATAAAAAGAGAATTTCTTTTGCATTACTGAAATTGGAAATATCAGGAGAACTGCCTGGAAAAGCATATTGAATTAGGGTTAGGGTTAGGGTTACAATTGACTTATTTTAGGCTAATACTAAAATCAGTAGACATTATCCTTAACCTTTTTGTTGCACAAACCTATATTTAGTTTTAAAGAAAACCTTTTATATACTGCAGCTTGAATACAATGCACATTTTCATCTGCACTCTTATTAAACTGTAAAGTGTATAACATTTTGGAAATCAAATGGATGCAGCTAAATAAGAATATTTTGTGAAAAGTGAAAATCACTAATTGACAAAAGCAACATTCAGAGATAACTTCACATCAAAGAGCTAAGTACTTTACTCAAAGATCTTCATATCACAAAGGGCTGCCAAAAAGGGTGAACGAATGCTGATGTTTGAACACAAAGTTACAGTTTAAATCCTGTACTGTCTAACAAATTTCCAAGTGAATTGGCCATTCACTTCATGACTGTTTCTGAGATATTGTTGTGCGCACATTTTCTGCGGCATTCACCTCGACATAAACAGTCAGAACACTTTACAGGAATTACTTGAGAAATACTTTTGAGACATTTCAATGTTATATGTTTAGATCCAATGTAAGTATTATTATTAATAAATGTTTACATGGCACTTACCAGTTCCTGGGTATCTTGTATGAGAGGTAAGAATGCAGCTTCTAGTATGATCACCTGATCTTTGCTTAGGCCTTGCCACAGACTGATCAACAGAACTATTAGCTGGGTGGCACTCTTTAGCCTCGTGAAAGCTTGACACAGGTCAGTCTGGTTCTCCTCTGCGGCATCTGCTAGAGCAATCAGCTAAAAAGATCAAAAGAGTTATATTTATACTGCACTTCTGTCTTCTGTTGGTACACTTTTAACTGTGACACTCATTACACAGGCCCTATGAATCAAAATAATGAATATTAAAAGCCGCATTTTTGATTTTATCAGTGTCATCTAAAAAAACATGCTACATTATATTATTGTTTTTGAAAGTTCATTTTATCAAAAAAAATAGATAGCGATATCAATGTTACAATTGGAAAACTGACAATTCTGATTTGAAACTCCTCATAGCTAGAATCCTCTGCCTGGCTTTCGAAGTCTGAGTGGACAGCTTATGGACAGACTGAGGAAAGAAGCAGCGTATAACAGATGGTTTTCACTACAAGAGTGGTTCTGTTACTTACTGACCATCAATAAGGATTGGAAACTGCAGGATTTTTAATGAATTTGTGCCAGTATCACTTCCTTTGGGCTTGAAGTCTGTGGCTTGATCACTAGACTCTACCTCTGTGCCTCCACCATCGACTCCTGCACCATTGCTGTCTTGCTCTCTCCCTTGCCTCCTTCAGGGCACATCTCAACACCATCCTTTTCGAGCGTGCATTCGGCCACTACCCCTACCCTCCCTACCCTTCATGCTCTCTTATCCCAAACCCCGAAAAGTTTGGACCCTGATCGCTGGATAGTCCAAATTCCGGACCATCCAGCACCATGGGACATCCTTCTGACGTGAAAGGCGCTATACAAATGTAATTTGTTGTTGTCTTAACCAACTCCATGTCAGACATTGTCCTGGATGTGCCCTTGAGTCAGAACTTTGTGCATTCAAGCCCCAGGTCCGGACTTTGAATTCATGTAGTTTAGATTGACACTTTAATTCAGTGCTGGGGGTACGGTGCATTAAAGAGATAAAGTCCTTCGGATGAGACTTCAAAACCACAGTTCTATTAGCCTGTTCAATGGTTGTTAAAGATGCCCTGGTACTAAAAGAGGAAAGTTTCCTGGTATCCTGACAAAGAATCTCCCAGATAAAAATTGATGTGCGCAAATTGGCTGTCGCAAACATGTAAAAAAAACATTATTACACTTTACAGTAAATCCTGTGAAGCACTCCCAACATGATATTCGCCATATTAAATGTAAGGATTATAGCTTTATTATTAACAACATTTTAGTAACGTACTCTTTTTTCTACTGCGAAGGTTGCATGCAGTGAACCTGAACAATCAGGCAGCGCCACTCATATGATATGTATGCAAGTGTTGAGTTGGAGGGTGAGGGGGGAAGAGTCAGTTGGTTCTTTAAAAGGTCTTGAGGTACAAGTTAATAAAACACAAGCTCTCTAATGTATATTGCAGATTAAAAGATTTCAATGTAAAATCATTTACTTTGGAAAAAAATATTCCCTACTTAGAAATACTTTGAAATGGATTCCAAAAGAATGTGGTTCAATCTTTCAATCTTATGCTGATTACTTTCTGCCAGAATAAAGCCTTTGCATTGTCTGTTTGGTAATTTGATAAGGTAAGATGCACAAATTTAAAGAGAACATACTGCTTATAATAATAACAATAATCCTTTCATTTGATATAGCGTCTTATCATGTCTTCAAGATGTCTCAAAGCACTTCACAGAATATACTTTAAAGTTAATTGACTGTATATTTTGTGGGCAAAACGGCAATTGTGCACAGCAGTGACCAAATTATTATTATTTTTGTTTTGAAGTGATAATTGTGTTCAAATTCATTCACTCCGACACCTCCCTATCTCTCTGACCTCCTCAATCTCGAATCCACCACCCGGCACCTCCGCTCGACTGGCACCACCTCTTGCTCGTCCTTCACACCCTCCACCCCACCATCGGACGTCGCGCTTTCAGCCATTACACCCCGAAACTCTGGAACACTCTCCCTTAATCCCTCCGTCTTGCCCCATCTTTCAAGTCACACCTGAAAACTTTCCTCTTCGACTGAGCTTAGGGCCAACTCCCCCCTCCCACCAGCTCAGAGTCAGGCTCCGCCACTGTTAAGCGCTATGAGATGCTACTCTGTATGGAGGGCACTATATAAGTGCAAGTTGTTGCTGTAATTACCCCCAGAAAAGCGATCCGCCAATTGACTAACAACCGGATTTCTACTTACTACTAGGTGAGCAGAGGCGTGTGGTGTAAGGGATTTTGACCAACATTTCACCCTGCCGCAAATCAAACCCAAGTCCTCTCGCTTAAGGAACAGACTGCCACCTAGCATCAGCCGGATGCTCAAAACAATGCTAAAATCTAGTATTGATCCAATTTTCAGAGCATCGGTTTCATGTTAAACTGTTCTCTCAGAATGTAACCCATGCCAGTGACTAAATTGGATTGTATTGGTATTAATTTCAATGATTATTTAAACGTTAAACTTGCATGGAGATTTTGTAATGTTATTTAAGGTCTGTTATTTAAGGTTGCACTTCTTAATCCTAATAAAAATAATAACAATAATCCTTACATTTGATATAGCATCTTATCACCCTTCATAGAATATACTGTAAAGTGAATTGACTGTATATTATATTGAAAGTTTAAAGGCTAAGAATCTTATGGATTCAATGCGATTCTTCCATCAATGTAAAAGAAATTAGACTAATTCTGCAGGGAAGCAGAGAATGGTGGCAAAGCTAAAGAAAGGTGAAAATGATCTAAGCATTCCTTAAGATGGGGTAAATTAGATGAACTAAACAACTTTTATAATAATCATGATCCTTGCATTTGTTATAGCGCTTTTCACGTCTTCTCGATGTCTCAAAGCACTTCACAGAACAGACTGTAAAGTGAATTGACTGTATATTTGTGGGCGAAATGCGACAGCATTTTCATTGTTCCCAGTCTTATGATACTGGTGAGCGTAAAATGCTCACTAACCCCATCTTCTGGGGTAAGGCTCTGTTATAGATCCCCCTGGACCACATTATATTAGGGCCGCACTGTAATTCTACTCATTTGGTGCAATTCAAATAGTTGAGCCTTCAGCAACAACACCCCAACCTCTGGAACTGCCTCACTCTACCCTTCCATCTCACTTCCTTTGTGTCTGTTTTTAAATCCTACTTACAAAAGATCCAATGGCACTATTCAAATAGAGAAGGGAGTTTCTCCTGGTGCCCTGATCAACATCCTTCAAATAAAATTAAGTGATTCACGTCTTCACTATTTGTGGGACATTACAGTATTCAAATTGGCTGTTACATTCACCCACAAAACACATAGCCACTGCATTTTACAGTACATTCTGTGAAGCAGTTTGGGACATACTTCCAATGTGAAAGGAGCTAAACCAAATGCAAGGATTATTATATTATTCCCCTCCTACCTCCCCCACCTCCCATCTCCAACTTGGGTGCCCAGCCAACAGGATCACACTCTTTGAGACGCCAACCTGACCTGAAAGGCACTAGATAAATGTAAATTGTATTGTAGATTTTATTTATTGTAATGTACTCATCTGGACAAATTTATTGCTGATAGCTTGGATTTAAAATCCTTTTTAATATTATGAGTCAATTCTGCTGCTCTGACACACACAAACAATTTGAGACTAAACAGTAATATAAAACTACTCCAATGGAGTTTTAGAACAAACAAGATGAACATTGAAAATCACTGTCTCATGGCAAGAAAGTAATTCTACAACCTTTCATTAGTCACTTGACAGGCATATAAGCTACACCTACTGAGCACATCCCACAGAGATCTGAGGCAGCTTGAAATTACTGATAAGCCACCTGGAATTTACCACCTGTATATGTTATTGAAATAACAACAGATAGGGGACAGTTAAAGGAACTAAAACAATTTCAGCGTTCAGATAAAGTGCAGAAACCATTGAGCTTCTCTCCTGTGGTCTTTAACATCTCCTGATCTCATTACCACTTTCTTAGTCTCCTTGACCCACCCATTTTTCTGTATGTGTTTTATAGCCTAAACTTCTGACCACAAAAATTAGCAGGGTCAAATGGAGTCCAGAGAGCCCCAAAATCACCCAGTAGACTTCTCGTAGATTCGTATTGTTTTCTGAGATTAAGAATCAGTTAGAAGGTCATTGAAGGAGGTTTAAACATTCTACCTGCCTGCCTGCACAGCTGAAGCTTTATTCGATGCAATCTTCTCCTTGAAAAATTAGCTCAGTTCAGATTAAATACATTGATGCAGACAGACTCAAATGAATTTGTAAACCTTGGCATCAAATTGGTTAAATTCTAGGATGGACAAATTAAATCAACAGCAGTTAGAAAACATTATGGTATTAGATGCAATAAATGTCACCGAGAATGGAAAAATGACACCCTCTAATTCAGTATTTTAGACACAACTCCAACTTTGTGACACTGTCAGTGGTAATAGTTTACTGTTTCCAGGTTAGCTTGGTGGACACATCAAAGTTTGCAATGGCAAAGAAGTAAATATTTGTACGTAAAAGATGTCACAGTGATTAAAAAGCTTATTCAACAGCACATCACCAGAATGAGACTCCTGTGAGAAAGCTGCTCTTATCACTAAGATGGGAAAAAAATACAGATTCAGCATAGACTACCATTTATGCAACCATTATAGCACAACCAACAAATATTAACGTCTACACAGTAAACTGAGTATTAATCATTTGTCTCAAAGTAGATATTATAAACTCATTGGTGTAGTGTGTGGGACGTCCTCCCGACGTGAAAGGTGCTCTATAAATGCTGTTGTTGTTGTTGTTTGGATTTCAGATCTTGCTGCTATTTAATTTGCAACTGGGCCTGGGTCTAATTCTATCATTGGTCGTATTGAATTGAGATATTGTATTTGATACAATTGTGCAAAAACATATTAGTAGTTTAGTGCCACCAGTGCAAGCTCTACCTTTTGCTTTTCTTTAAAGAAATTCAGTCAGTCTTACAAACCAACACTGGAATTCTATGAAATGAAATTAACCAACTATCTCATAGCTCTTCTCAATCAGTAGAGAACAGTAGAGTAGAGAGTAGTCTCAAATTATATTAAGAATT